CAAGAGTGTACAGCACCACGTTACCAACCGTGACCATTTTGAGACCAGCGACGCTACTGTCCACACTTCCATGATTTTCACCCATGCGGTTTTTGAGGTACATGTCGCAGGGTCACCAAGCTAGCAGCTAGGTAGCGATCCTGTTGCATGCGCTTGTCATGCTCTTGGGTTCTTTCTCTCTTTCTGTTGCTTTTCGTTTCTTGAGGCCTTTCTTTCGGTTCCAGGTGCCTTTCCGACAAGGGTGCGCCGGCCCTAAATCGGCTTTACTTGAATGTCAGTGATGGCAATGCCTTCGGGCTCCCCTCCCTGCCCCTGGCCTCTGTTGCTATCCCACCCGCTATCTAGGGTTATAGAAGGAAATCGGACTCAACACACTTGTGTGTTGGTGCCTTTCCTTCTATTTCTCCTGTCCTACTTCTAGCTACCCGGGCGGTATAAGACAAAAGTCCCGCTCGCTAGCTTCTGCATGTATTGTAACTAACAGGCTTCGTAACTAGTCGGCCTCGTAACTACTCCTATCTTTCTCTCTTGCCCTCTTCGTTTTATCTTGCTGTTTTTCTTTGTCTGTCTTTCTAAGGCTTTTTAGGTGACTAGTAATCTTCCAGCACGCCGCTATCGGCGTTGTGTGTACAAAGCTGCTGAACAAAATTGTTTGACGCAAGGGGTGCAGAGCGCCAATTGCGGCATAATGTGTGTGTCAACACCTGCTTCCAAGGTTCGTGCCCGGTAAGTATGCATGCAGCAGGTTCCCACTTGAAGAAAGGATGCTACTAATGATTTCTGGCCTCGCTACTAGGAACAAGAGGCCGCTAGAACCAAGGGCATCGCTACTAATTAAGAACAAAGAGGCAGGGACAGGGATGCAGAAAAAGAAAAGAAAAAGACAAAGAAGCAGGGGGCCACCGGGGTCCCAGAGGAGCGGTGGCCAACGAAGACCTCCTCTGGGAACCGTGTAAACGTACCTGCATTTTAAAATACTGCTTAACCATGCAACTCAGTAAAGCGGCTAATGCATAGGCGGTCTGCTAGGTATTCAGTAAAGCGGCTAATGCATAGGCGGTCTGCTAGGTATTCAGTAAAGCGGGTAATGCATAGGAGCTGCAGACTTGCACCAAACAATTGTTCAAACACCTTCAAGTGCTCCGACCCTTTCACCTTTCGGTTCCATCGCCATTTTTCTCCTGCGAATTGAGTTAAATCAAAACCAATGTCAGAGTGTGCGCCGCCCTGCGGCTGTATGTTACTCGGGCATCTTTGGGCCTTTGCGTGCGTAGATGTGCCTGTGTGTGTGCCACACCCCGTTCCGAGGGGCACCTTGATTGGAAACTTGTTCAGCAGGGGCGTACGGCTCGTCATACCCACCGTACGCAATGAAGCTACGGTATGACGAGGGAAGGGTGTGTAGACTGATCATCCACCTGTACCTAACAGTTGCTCGGTTGTTGTGGTCCCTTGGTTTGTTTCATGGTTGTTCATGTACCTGATGGTGTCCCGAATGTTAATATTATCAATTGAATTGTGTAATTCATTTTAAAGGGCTAATGCGTGGTAAAGGGCTAATGCGTGTGTTCAAGCAAGACCTGTTCCTGGCCCATCGCCATGCCGTCCCGCAAGCCAAGTGCCAAGTATTCACTTAAAGGTCTAACGCATTTCTGAACACCACTGAAGTTGATGTTCCTTCAGCGGAACTTTGAGTCTAAGTGTGTTCTGATCTTGTTTTAAAATATGTTCGGTGAGTTTCTGTTCGTTCTATTCTGAGGCCCAAACACTAACATGGGAGGCACATGCTTTTCGTGACGGGTGTGAATCACCTCCAATGCTAACTGCAAGTCCTGCATAGCCTGCAAAGAACGATGTCAAGCAATCAACCAAGCCTGGAGTGGCTAGTTGGTGTCAATCTTCCCTCTTCAGAGATTGGAAAGCCTATCGTGTGAAACGGCCTTGAAACAGTGAAGAGAACAAGCCGTTCCTGAAGATTCATTCACGTTGCCAGATCAAGCTAGATCAAAAGGTGCGACCAAATCTGTTCAAAAGGAATCAAGGCTTGTACAAACTGGTCTACCATCATCAGCCATCTTTAATGTTGTGTCATGTTCTCCCATGTCTCCGTCCATCCTTGGTACTCAAAGCTTCAACTGACTCTAAGCTATCTACCTCTAATCACTGATGCTTCCTTTTTCCCAACCTGCATATCTGCTGCAACTTTGCTTTGCTGCATTTCTTGCATCAAAACAATTGAATGGCGCCATTGTGCTGCTGCACTGCATGCCTAGGTCAGCGAGAAAAGCCCTGGGCTATCTTGAGCTCTTGGCACCGAACACAAAACTACTGAGCTTCCTTTCCATCATCGCTTGCTTTTCCTTCCTACTTGTCTTTCTTTCCGTGTTTTTTGCATTGTGCCTTCAACGTTGCACCAAAGCCAGGCCTTTCTGCCTTTGGTCCCAGGTGCCTGACCAAACTTTGAGCGAGCTCACCCAGACGACATGGACATCTCTAGATTCTAGATAAAGCAACAGGGAATAGCGTGATTTGGATTCTGGCTGCAAAAGAATTGTGAGGCCCAAAAGGCCTCAGGAACTTCAATGTGTCCAACGCTAACGCCCAGTGTAGAGCAAGAGAAAACGCTGAAATTGCAGCATTGTGAGAGGAGACCTCAGCATTCGGCATATTGTTATATATTCATGCAAAGCTGATGGGGTCTCCTCTTTGCCGACGAGAAGCAGTAGGTTCGGCACTTTGTTGACGCATCAGGTGGAAAACTGTGATGGCCACAGGCCAACGCACATTCTTCCCAGCGGCAGAGATGACCACGTTATAGCAAACCTTAAGGGAAGGACTTGCAACGTTAACAACGTTAACTCGGCATGCATTTCTTCTATGGGGTTTTGGGTCAAGTATTTGTGTGCATGAAATGTCTTGCCCTTCAGGTGCAATCCCAAGCTCGAAGAAAAGGACTTGCCCTCAGTGAAAACCCTCTGAAGGTTTCGGAGGGAAGGTGAACATGGCACTCATGGCACGCAAACACTCGCACTTCGCCGACCTTTGTACTCTGAGCTCTGCCTCTGCAGAGTGTCATTAGCGTAGTAATGTGTCTCTCCCTGGTCGTCCTACGTATTCATTTGCAAGCGTTTTGCAAGCTAGTAACGCTAGTATACTGTACAGAAACGACCAACATTTGTGTTTTGTGGGCTTGACCTGGTAGGTCCGTCACTTGAGTGCTGACCCCCAGGACCCACATGGACCCACTGCGTCACCAGCTATTTCGCTGATGCGTGTCAGCTCCACTGACTTGCCAGGAAAACCTCGTGCGATTTGGGTCGATTTGGGCCTACCTGGTTAAAAATACAGTCCTCAGATTCAGAAGTGATGAGAGTAAATCATGGTCCTCAGTGTCATGAGAATTGAGCAACTGGCGGGCAGCTATGATCCCTTGGAAGTAGAGCAAGCACCAAACTGTAGTATGACTTGTATTGAGATCATGAGTGCATGTTCTGAGGTCGCAGCTCATATGTTGGATAAGGATACCTCAAACAAACAAGTGTGTGCTTGGCTTAAACAAACAGCAAATTTGATGCCATTGGTCAAGTCTGAGAATAATGTCATATGTTCGTAAACCTTGCGAGAAAGCAGGAGGAATGGTATCTTTTCAGGGGTCTTGGCGGAATTCTTACTTGTACTCACTGAATGCCATCTGAAAAAGGAAAGCGTGTGACCTTCTATATACATAAGAATGATAATAGCATATGAACAGTTGGTTCCTTGCCACCAAGGAGCAGGGTGGAATCCATCAGGAGCTCTGCCTTGTCCACCTACACTTTTGCGAACCCGTGAGTGCTGCGCACTCACACTGCAGGACTCTTGCGCATGATTCATCGTGTGTATATATATATATATGTCACACTTGACTCAATTCGCACGCTGCAACAGAATGATTCCACAATACAAACAGCCTCAGCATTGTTTTGGTGCAAGTGGTCTTCCACACTATATATGGTCAATAATATATATATATGTATGGATGGATATATATATATAGAGATGTGTGTGTGTGTTTTACATATTTTCATCATGTGTCTGGACTCTTGAAGTGATTATGGCCACCACATACCCATGTAATCCAAGCTGCCGCTGCCCGCAGGGCAACCATCTGTGGCCTGGACACAACACGTCTCGAGTCTCGTTCTCGAGTCACGTGTACTCCATGGCTGAATTGAATGTTGTATCAATGAGCCCACATAGCAAACAGTGCCAGAAAGCCAGGTATCACAATCGTTCAGGGAGCAGCAAGTAATGTAAATAAGTGTATATATGGGGGTTGTCCAACAAAGCTCTTCTTTTTGAGCTTGTATCGCGCGCCTTTCGCGACCCTTTCGCGTTTGCAGAAAAAAATACTACAGGTGTTCCTTTCGCGCATTGCGATGAGCTTGTTCCAGTGCACTGAGTTCACAGTGTTTGGGATATCTAAATCCCTTTTAGTGCGCTGAGAAGCAGGCTGCCCTTTGTCAATTCAAGGCTTATTTCAAGGCCATGGATGGGCAGGTGCCCTTCCAGGCAATGCGCCCTTTCGCAGGCCTACCGCCGGCCTTTCGCGGCCCTTTCGCGAAAATTTGTGTTTCTGTTCGGGAAAAAGGATGTGTCATGTATTGTGCACATTGTATGTAGGTTGGCACATGTCTTTCGCCGTCCTATCGCCGGCCTTTCGCGGACTGCAGTTTCCCTTTCGCGACATGTTTGCTTTAACATTTCATCTAAATTCCTTCACTGGCAATAACGGACGGCCCTCATATAATCAAGTGGGTGAGAAACTGAGATATGCCAAAGCTTGCCAGAACAAGTCGAAAGTTGGTCAAGCCCTTTCAACCAAAGATACAAGTAGGGGGGTTAGCATCCAACAACGCAAACACCCGTGATCACCATTGATCACCCGTGTTTCTTCACTTCCTTTTGGCGTACTGTAGTTTCTGGTGGGCGGTAGAGTGCCACATTGACATGAAATGCTGTTAGCCCTGTGTAGCCCGAAGCACCCTGCAAGCAAGCGGCTTGACAGTGTCACAAAGGAAGGTGGCTTCTTCAGCCATGGTGGTTGGCTTGGACAAATAAATCGCCTCGTCAAGCTCCAACAACAAGCGGTCATTGTCTAATGTTGAAATGTTTCCTACGGCATGAAAAACCATGGAAGGTTATGTGTCTGTGTGGCACCACATTCAGCCCACGGATGATTGCTCGAGCTTTCGAGGAACGGCAAAGCTACACCTTCTCTGCTGCACAATGCGGGAACGGGCTGTTCAACCAGTTGAAATGACAAATGAATCCCTTGTCCATTCCTCTACCAACCAGGTTCCTCTGCAAACCAATGTGTCCATGGATGTGTCTGCTTATTTCAAGGATTTAGGGCAAAACAGCCAATTGCAATGCCTGCAAGAGGTTGTGCATCAAGCAAGCGGAATACAATAGAAAGCCAAGCAATAACTTGACTACACTGTGTACACTGGACCTTTGCAGCAAACAGCTGCCATTGACAAGGTTAAACACAAGAAGAGTTCACCAAGGCCAACCAACATGTTGAACTCTGCAGCATAGAGCTCTCATCTACATGACAAAGAAAGCAAGAGGAGCTTTCTCCTGTGAGCAGCCCAAAGCACCTTGAGTTTCTCCAGTTGATCAACGATGCTCTCGTAAGTTGCCTTGCGAGTACTGGCCAGCTTCTCCATGCCCTTGAACTTATTCAAATCCTGAAAAAAAGAAAACATTAAACAACGCCATACAAATTCTGAGCACATGGATTCTATATAGATTGTGTCATTACTAACTACGGCTGTTTATAGCAGGCAGCACAGTCTCCCTGGCGCAAGCAGGCAAAATTCTTTGCTGAGTCATCTGGACCATGGTTTCCACCTCACAGCCTCAAGAGGAAATGCTAGAGCAAAAAAATCGACACCCTGTCACCCTCTACCAACAAGATCGCTCCGGCCAATGCCCCTGAGCGCTCGTTTGTGCGCTTGAAATGTACAGTAGTATTTGTAACGCAAAGAATGTCCATTCATTTCAAGTATGTGGGGTGCTGGTAGATCAGCGAGTCTGAGCATCAGAAGCATGTCAGCCTTACACAAACATGGCAGTATCGTCCATTCCATCCCTTACAACTACGGTTTCACTTACTAGTAGGTCTTTGTGTTTTTTCCGTGTCGTCCGATTCTGAGCAACAAAGTGAAGAGATGTAGTTCTCATACATCACCTCCTGACGCGCTTCAGTCTCTTCTGCTGTGTAGATCTTCAAACTTTCAAAGAGCTGCTTGTTTTTCTCGGTGTTCCTCGAATCAGCTGCAAACATAATTAGTTGCCGGCTGAGGAGGGACATCAATCAATTTTGTCAAACACTGCTCACTCAAACCAAAAAGAAACTCATTTGCATGCACCCTGTCAGCGATTCCATTGGATTTCCCTGCAAAAATGGGACAATCAGTGGCCTCCATGACTGAATTGTGCAGACCAGCTACCATTTCGCCAATGCCTTCGGCGTAGTGTTGAGATTGGGCAGGCCCCGCTTGGCAGCTTCAACTGGCCACTCTGCGGAGTAGCCGTTTCCTGCAAAGATCACGTGCTTGTTGTCCTGCGAAAAGCAGTTGAGCCGTTGAACTCAGTTGAACAGTTCCCCTGTAGTGCTACAAAGCACCTGTCTTCTTCGACGTCAAGTGTCTTGAAAGGTGGTTGATGGACAAGGCGAACGAACTGGATGTAAACGAAAAGTAAAAGAGGAAAACAACTGGGCTGGGCCCCCTTTGTATCCTTTGATAGGGTTCCTCCTCAACAGCGCCTTAAGCCTCATTAAAGGAACCTATAAGCACGCAGGTGCTTTAGTGCGTAGCGAAAGGTTCTCGTTTAACTGGGGGTCTGGGGTAGACTCTTGTTCGCGACTGGTTGTCGTAGCGTCCGCAACTGTTCGCAGCCGTCCACGGTAGGTCGCTATGGCGCTGACATTGGGTGAAGCTTTTGGAGAGGGCTTTGGATGGAAGCATGACGTGTCAGAGTCGTGTGAAATAGCGAGGACACCTGTGGAAACGCAACATGCTGAATTGTGGAGGATGATTTCACTGCGCAGGTGCAGCGTTTTGCGAGATCTTCGGGTTTCTTCGCAGTCAGACCGGGATTGGCGTTTAGAGGGCTGTGTTTTTGGGGTGTTGGATGTGGCTGCGACATTGGGATCCGCGTTGCGGGCTGTTGCTTCGAAGCTGTGTTTTCGTGACAAGTCTCAGCTAACAGACGAACACGATTTTGGAGGATGCGAGTGCGCTCAGCACGTGTCGAAATCATTCCAAACGTGTGGCGTGGTGCAAATTTGGCTGAATTGAGACTTTTCGTGCCAGGCACAGTACTTTGTCCATGTTTAGGTGTCGAAGTTAAATTTGTGTAGCGGGCGGCGGGCGCAGGGAATCCTGAGTCCCCGACGGTTGGTGGAAGTGAGTGTCTCTGTGACATTGGGATTGGTGTGTGTGTGGCTTTGAGGCTAGACTTCCCGCTTCACTTTTGAAGAAAGTCTTGCACAAAACGCTCGTCTTTTTATGCATGCTCCATGACTGTTGGAGAAAGTTTTGTCGAAACGCTCGTTTTGCAGATTTGACGTGTGACTTTTGGAGGAAGTCTCCCGTGAAGCACTCGTTTTTCAGATTTGACCTCGGAACTGGCCACTTGGGGGAGTAGCTTTTGGGAGCTGTGGCCCCAGCTGGGAGCTGTGGCTCAGAACTGGCCACTTGGTAATTAAAATGTAGTGCGGGAGGCGGCTTCTGTGAGGTGTGGCCTCAGAACTGGCAACTATGGTGCAAATTAACTTTGATACGGAAGCAGCTTCTGTGAGCTGTGGCCTCAGCACTGGCCACTTTGTAGCACATACAAATGCAGTGCTTCTGAGAGCTGTGACCAAGCAGCTTTTGTGAGCTGGCCTCAGAAGTGGGAACTGCGCAGTACAAATGTAGTACGATGCAGCTTCTGTGAGCTGTGGCCTCGTAATACGGGAAGCAGCTTCTGGCAGCTGGTCCAACAAGAGTGTCCCACAAGAGTCGCGCGAGAGTGTCCCACAAGAGTGTCCCACAAGGGTGTCTCGCAAAGAGTGTTGCAGCACAAGAGTGTCGCACGAGAGTGCCCAGAACAGTTTCCACAAGAGTGTCCCACAAGAGTGTCTCCTACTCTATGCTTCTGTATGTTTGCAGCGACGTACGGTCCTGCATTCCTACTTGCAACAAGACCAGACGCCGCAGTCGTGGATTTTTCTGAATTATGTCGACGGTTGTCATTTTCAGGTCCTAATTGTTGAGACCTTTGGACATTGCGAATGTTTCTTCATGATGCGGATCTGCCTGAGTCCCTGCGTACGCTTCTCGTATTACAGCCGTGCATAATGAAGGATGCTCTACATGTGGTGGCAAAGTCCCCCATGCAAGATGCGTCACGAAATGTTTTCTATGTTCAACATGTCTTCAATTTTCAGCAAAGTCTACATGTGGTGGCAGAGTCCCCGAACGGCTACTTGTCGAACGTGGTTGCATTGGGGTTCGTGGGCTCCATTTTGTTTCCCTTGACAACAGCTCTTAATGTCCTTAAAGACCTTGGCAACAGCATCACGGTGGCTCATCCCACCTTCAATGAGTCCTGGGTGGGAAGCAAACACTATATTGTAAGTGTAAGTTTATGAGACTTCACTCAGCGGCAAATGTAATGCATTTCTATTTCAAAATAATGATAAGAACTCTGTCATTCATGTCATGGAGGTCCTGAAAGGTGAGCCATGCCTGCTGACATCACCGCATTGCAGACCATAACTGGCAGGCAGCAATTTTGAGAGGACCCAACTGCCCGAAATTCAAAGCGATTGCCACAGAACGGGAAGGGCGCCGTACGATTCCGATCTTCAACATTGGCCTCGATGTGCATGGCGGCACTGCAGCCTGTCTGTTGCTTCTTCTTCTCAGCTTTGTACCCAAGAAGATCACCCCCTTCACAAATGCTGTCCACAAAGTGTTCGAAACCCTGCCCTGGGTACAATGAGATGATGGCCGGTGGAGCTTCCTGTGCACCTAATCGATGGTCATTTCCTGCATGTGCAACGGTGCATCGTACCATCTCGTTGTACTGCGCCAATCCGTATGACAAGCAAGCAATGGCTGTGACATAGAGCTTTGCACCATCCTCGTTCTTCCCCGGGTAGAAAAAATTAAGGCCCGTGTCAGTGCCCACAGACCAGTTGGCATGCTTCCCGCTGCCGTTAATGCCAGCAAATGGTTTCTCATGGAAAAGCACCTGAAGGCCAAGTTTGGCAGCCTCTCGATTCATCACTTCCATGAAAAGTACATTGCTATCGCAGGAAACATTGGCAGTCCGGAAGACTGGAGACATCTCATGTTGCCCTGGAGCGACTTCATTGTGTTTCACTGCCATCGGGCAACCAACCTTCAGCATCTCAGCCTGTGCGATATCCAAAAGTTGCTGAATTTTCCCTGGAATTGGCTGAAAGTAGTTCAAATCTCCCTGCTGATGCCTTGTAGGCAGTGTACCGAACAATGTTCTGCCGCAATTCACCAAATCTGGGCGAGCTTTGTAGTGATCAGCAGAGATCACAAAAAACTCTTGTTCCCAGCCGAGATAGCTATGCATGGTTTGAGCATCGGTTCCAATCCCAATTGCTTTCAAAAGCCGCAATCCGTTGAGTTTCACTGCGTCCATTGATCGGAGCAACGGAGTTTTCTCATCGATGCACTTACCAAAGTGTGTGACAAAGGCGCATGGGATGTAGAGGCACTTGTCTGTCACCTTGATGCATCATATTACAAAGTTCCAGCAAGGCTTAAGAGTTTTACCAGTGAAGGTGCACGCACACTTAGATTGTTGCTCGCAAGAGCTAGTATCAGTACGAAGTTCCACTTTACACGCATTAGACCTTGATTCGATGGAACCGAAAAATGCAGAACGGAAAGGTGAAAGTCGGCAGATTTGAAAATGTTTGAACAGTGTTTTCTCAAAACACCGAAGTGGAACAGCTTGTCCATTAAGTAGGTTTCTCTCCAAGCAGGTACGTCAATCCGGCGTCCCGGATTGATTTCACAGACCAGTGCAAGCGTCTATGTTAGTGCCAAACTTGCACGGTCCCTGGCACCCCCTGCCTCTTTTTTCCGCGCTGAGAAACTATATGTTAGTAGCGATACCAGGAGCCCTTAGTAGCAAAACCAGGGGTCCTAGTAGCGTTCTTTGTGACTCAAAACCTTAGGCATAGGTGTGGACACACACACGAAGCCGTACTCGGCGCACTGTCCCTTGCTTGCAGTTTAGTAGCGTGGCCAGGAGTCGCTAGTATCGTCCTTAGCCCCGTAGAAAGGTCAGAGGTTCCTGGGAGTACCGTCCTAGCTCCTGGTAGCGAGGCCAGAAGCCCCTTGTAGCGTCGTTTGTGTCGCAAGGCTTTGTACACATAGCGCCAATATTGGCGCTTTTTTTGAAAAGTACTAGCCACCGGTGTAGTTACGAGGCCCACTTAGTTAAATGAAAGTAGAACGCGGGCGGGACATTTTGTCTTAAACCGCTCGGGTAGCTAGCAATAGGAAAGGAGAAACAGAAGGAAAGGCACCAACACACAAGTGCGTTGAGTGCGATTTCCTTCTGTTGCCCGAATGGCGGGTGGGATAGCAACGGAGGCCAAGGGGCAGGGAGGTAGGGGGGAGGGTGGGTTAGGGTGGCCCATAGGCCTTGCCATCATTGGCATTCAAGTAAAGCCGATTTGGGCCGGCGCAACCCATTGTCTGAAAGACACCTGGAACCTAAAGAAAGGCCTCAAGAAACGAAAGGCAACAAAAAGAGAGAAAGAACCGAAGAGCATGAAAAGCACATGCAACAAAAGCCGTGGGTGGTTTGACATGCCCGCGTCCTAAGCCCCGCCTGTGGTTACTTAGACGAACATGAAAGTGCAAATACGAATCGGTACAAGTCTCAGTAAGCCCTGCGGCACAGTTTCAGTAAGCCCTGCGGCACCGTATTCACCGTATCAGTGGTATCAAGCAAAAACAGTCAATCCAAAAACGCAAGTCCGGACTGGAGTGTGTCTCAGTAAGCCCTGCGGCATGGTATCCCCCGGGGATCACACCTCAGCCCTCAGTGGGACCCTGTGGCGAAGACACACTTAGATTGTTGCTCGCAAGAGCTAGTATCAGTACGAAGTTCCACTTTACACGCATTAGACCTTGACTCGATGGAACCGAAAAATGCAGAACGGAAAGGTGAACGTCGGCAGATTTGAAAATGTTTGAACAGTGTTTTCTCAAAACACCGAAGTGGAACAGCCTGTCCATTAAGTAGGTTTCTCTCCAAGCACCGGGATTGATTTCACAGGCGTTAGTGCCAGACTTGCACGGTCCCTGGCACCCCCTGCCTCTTTTTTCCGCGCTGAGAAACTATATGATAGTAGCGATACCAGGAGCCCTTAGTAGCAAAACCAGGGGTCCTAGTAGCGTTCTTTGTGACTCAAAACCTTAGGCACAGGTGTGGACACACACACACACGGACTGAACAAGTGCGTGACAAACACGCACAGTCACTGTTGACTTGAAAAAGTACCAACATGCTAGACCAGTGAGTCGGACAAATGTCGTACCCTACAAAGTCGTTGCACGAGGCATGTGGCGGAAAAGCCATGTCAACAAGTACCTCTGCAAACCTGTCTAGCAAGCAACCTCTACAAGCCCACAGTGCAGAGCGCAGCATAGATGCATCTTTTTGAATGGGTGGCTTGATCAATAACAACCCCACATGTCCAGCCCCAAACAACGGCAATGGGCTCCATTAACCTTATTTTCCCACGCCCCACAATCCCCACAGTTCAGTCACGCAGCTGCGGCTGTCCCTGGCAAAAAGTGTGCCTGACAAAGCAAAACCTGCAAGGCAAAATGTCCTGCTGCACATGCAAAAATTGCAAAAGCAACATCCACGGAGGTTCACAGTTCACAGGCAAAGGAACCACCAAGGGAAGGGCCTCAAAGCCAAGGGCACCCAAACCACAAAGATCCCAGGGGTTGGTGGGGCCTAGACCCCAGATAGCCAAAGATTTTTGTGGGCAGTACGGCAGCAGCACCCCAAGCCCACATAACAGCGGCACCCTGCACAGCACCAGCACCCAAGCGCACACAGCAGCAGGCATCAGCACCGAAGCTCTCAAGCGTGCAAAGCAGCGGCGCCCTGCAGCGGAGCCAGGACCCAAGCCCAAGCACACACAGCAGCGGCACTGTGCAGCGGCACCAGCACCCAAGCTCCCAAGTGCACACAGCAGCGGCACCAGGACCCAGGCTCCCAAGTAATGATATTCAGACCTGACGTGGAAACTCGAGACCCCGTATACATCAGTATACAGTATACGATACTATATGCTACAATGAGCGTCCCCTGTAGTTAAGCTTAGTTATAAGTTGGGATAACATGGGTTATAACTAATGGTAACGTAAAGTATAACATGGTGTGTGTAGGAGTAAGTTTACTTGATGTTATATCTTACTTGCAAGTAAGTTGTTCTAGAAAGTGAAAATATTTCTTAGTTATAAGTACGATGTAAAAAACATTAAATAAGTTATAAATAAGTTAGCGAAGTTACATTTTTGTAAAGGTTTTGCACCTGTTGCCAAGCACTGGTTTAAAAAAAAGGGTCTGCACCACAGATTTTGTAAAGGTTTTGCACCTGTTGCCAAGCACTGGTTTAAAAAAAAGGGTCTGCACCTTTTTTATAAATAGCAGATGTAGATGGCTTTAGATGCAAGCATTGTTTGCTTTGTGCAGAAAAGGTTTTTTCTTCTTTTTTTTTGCGCGGTGGTCCGTGCGTGATTCTTTGTGTTTGGCTGCCATGTGTTGTCTCAGGCAATGCTCAAGGTGGCAAGCTGCTTGTTGTTCAGGTTTAGCTGGTAGTTCTCATGTCGGATGCTGCAGAGCCAAGTGGAAAGCGGCTGCCCATGCAAAGCTGGGAGTTGTTTCCCTGCTACATCCCAGGCGATGTCTGGGACACGTTCAAGGGAGCGACGAACATGGTGGCAGCGCTCGATGCTTTGCTGGTCTTCTTATTGAAGCTTGGCCTGAGAACTCCTTCAGAGCGCACTCAAGCAATCTTGACATCGCTTCTCATCCTTCGAGATGGTGATGATCGAAAGGGGAGGAGCGCTGATGGCATGAGAAGCTTGTTTTGTGCCTTGGAGTTTGAACAGTGGCACAGCTGTTGCTTTGAAATGCTTGTTTGTCTAGCACGAATAAGCAATCTAGAGCCCACATTGTTCGATTTTTGTTGATTGATACACTAGGCAACGTGAAAGCGCAGCTGCAAGCGAAGCTGGCCAGGAACAAGGACCAGATCGGCAAATCCTTGACCTTTGGCTTCTTGAAATGCTTGCCAGCCGACACCACAGAAGCTCCCAAGAATGTCCAAGAGTTTTGCTTTCCAGGTGGGCAGATTCCTACAATGCCGTGGCCTCTGGAGGCGATCTTGTCCATGGCGAAGGAAGTCCCACTGAGGAAGACCAGAAAGGATGTGGCAGCTTCTGTGTTGCCTGCGACTATGTTTCAAAGTTTGACACCGCAGTGTTTAGCTCTGATGCAGGGATTTTTGATGCAAGGCATGGCTGCTATGAATCCTGCTTTTCAGCAAGAAGTTTCTTTGACTATGTTGCGCCCACAGGCAAGGCAGTCGCAGTTGAGTGGCCTTCTGGACAGAGCAAGATCCAACTCTTCAGAGTTTTCCCAGCCGTCGCATCCTCTTGCCTTGCAAGATGCCCAAGCACTACCTGCAGATTCAAACAAGGGAACGCTAGCCCTGGAGGAGAAGGACACTGAGATGAAGGTGGAGTTGCCTGAATCCAAGGCAGAAGCACAGCCTGAGAAGCAGCAAGTGGAGGAGCGCCCACCAGCTTCAGCCCTGGTAGCAAGCAATCCACCTCACGTTGAACCAAAGTCTCCGACAGTTTCTCCACCACAGCAAGCGGCGCATGTGTCTTTGAGCGAAAGCTTACGGAAGATGCAGCATGCCAGGGGAATTTTGAAAAGGCCTGCTGCCGCTCCCAAGACACTGCCTGCCATGAAGAAGGTGAACCCACAGGCGAAGAAGAAACCTGTGCCTATGAAGAAGCCAGCATCCAGTCTTGCTGGCAACAAGTCCTTGGGCAAGAGTGAGCTCAAGAGAAGTTGTTGAAGACCATTCCCACTCACTTAAAGGCTGAGCGGAGAAATGGCTGCAGCAAGTGCCGTTGGGTGAAATTCTGCACTGTCAGCTGCTGGGCAGCCCGAGGCTGGACCATCTAGTGGCGCTTGGCCATTCTTTCTGTAGGGTGAAAGTGTGACATTGGCACGCCACAGTGGCCGTGACAACATGGCACTTCAGGAAAAGGGTGCGTGGGTTTTGCATACATAGTTTAAATGCAGTTGTTCAAAGGACATAAACTACGACTATGTAAAACATCATAAACTATGTATGGATTTGATCCCTTGGTGGTGGTCCATTGGGGGATCAAATCAATTTAGCTTCAAACCAAACTCTGTGTTTTTCTCGTTGGTCTATTCAATAGCGTTATCGTTATCGTTATCGTTTCCTGAGGCTCAATCTATGCATATCAATGTATAGTTCAGACACCAATGCTCAATGCCTGTACGATGCATTTACAATCAATAGTTCCAAGCCTCCCTAAGGGACAAAGAGAAGAGCAGGGAAGAGTTCTGGGCTATACAATCCATCCAACAACACTTTTACCACTGTGTGTATGTTTGTACCCCTTGTCAAAGTTTGTTCCACTTTACAT